TGGGGTGTGCGTGCCGGCGGTGTTGACTCACGCCACTCTTCGTCGGAGCAAGGCGGGAACAATCAGCACAGACCAATTGGGCAACCGTGTTCGTACCAACACTTTATAAGAGTTCAGCAACTCCAGACAGGGCCAACCACCCCGTTTGGTTTCAATGTGCTGGTTACTTTCGACAATGTATACTGCGAGTCATCGGGCGCCTCCGCACCAGATGACTCGCAGTATACATTGTCGAAAGTAACCAGCACATTGAAACCAAACGGGGTGGTTGGCCCTGTCTGGAGTTGCTGAACTCTTAGCTCACCCAGACAGACGTCCAGGCTACCCGGTCGGCACCACGAGGAGGTGGTTCAGCTCGCCGACTATTGAGTTCCTGATATTACTTCTTCCGGGTGGTTAAAGCTTTCCCTGGCTTTGTTCGGTAGTTAGTCCATTTTCAATCTTCCTGTCTTCTCGTGACGTTCGTCCACTCTACGTGTACACTTCCACCGGTCTATCGTCAAATATTGCTCCGCGATATATCGGACGTTATATCTGTTGCCTGGAGAAGAGATGAATACTTTGGCTTCATCTTCCGTTCATGTCCATGACCGCAACATGACTTGAATTCGGCGCTCCTCAAGAACAACCGCTAATAAAATCCATATGGAGAATAGTGTGGAACAGAAAGGTTTCCTAAAGTCTTCACCATCTTAGAAAAATTAAAGGTAAGTTGATCTCCCATTGTCCGCGTACGGAACAAGAAATGTAAAAATTTGGTGCAAAAAGCCATAAAGCGCAATATTCCAGTCAAAATTATTGACCGTGGGAGGAAGCGGAATTACAGTGACTAAATAATTTCTCAGTTTCAGGGCGAAAAATTCTGATTACTGGTGGTAGTTTATGAGAGCATTGCAAGACTGGATCTCACAATTAGTTCTTTAACAATACCAAGCGAAAATCTGACAGTTGTTTGGCTTGAGCCCCTTTGATCGTGGACTTTGAGTACCACGTACCCTTGTGACTAGCATCGAGGATTGGGAATTTGACGAGGTGTTTCCCACGAATATGTTCGAACTCGAAATTCCTAGGATTGCTTCAGACGAAAAAAATCCAGTAATAACATGATGATTTCCAATCCAGTATCCTTAGCTTTTGGACCATAGAATAGGTGGTCACGCGATCTTTGTATGTTAAAAAAAATATGCATGATTTCCAGTCTTGGAGAAGCGAACTACAATCACCCGATTAGGCTACAAAACTTCACTGTACACATCGAGCCATTTCGTCCCGATTCGGCAAAGCTCCAGTCGGAATTAAAGACATGAACAAGCGCGCCTAAAAATTCGCGCAACGCGCACTGAAACACTGGGTAAAAATCATTATCCTCCGGCCTAACTACACCCATCAGGTGGGCTAAAGCACCAGATGCGAAAGGCCCTGGTGGCACTTGGTTCGAAACATTTGTTCTGTTCTAAGCTACTCATGAGTAGCATAAAAATTAACGGGATGCGGGAGGTCGTTCCATTGGACTACTGAAGCGCTTCTTGCAGCTCGACGATGCAGAGAACTGGAAACCAGCCTGTAGTTTCCTTGTCGATTTGCAGACGGCACTTTCTTGGGCAGAACCATATAGAGCATAGTGAAACGGGTTCTTCTGAGAAACTTGCCTTTGAATATACTGAGTTCAACGAGAGTTCAGCTTGACGATCAGATAAAAAAGCAATACCATCAGAGAGGCGCTGACTGCTTATTCCAATGAAGCTATAAATCACAGCGATGGGTTCTTGGTTGAACCACCATTTTATCGACTAGCCAGGCACCGCGTTCTGTCGCGCAGACAGTAGACTATTAAGCACAACAATGTTATCTTGTTTACAGATATGCAGGTGAACTGGTGATTGGAATTCCGGTATAAACTTTGGTCAACTTAGCAACATAAAACTCCGGAATCTTTAAACTTATGTGTTTAAGTCATCCCAAACGGCTTCAAACATATGCAAAGCATTTCTTCTTTATAATGGTTTCTCCGTACGCCGAAAATGGCCCGCGTTTATTACGGCCATACGAATATGTACAACACTCTCAGAGAATGAACTTTTCGTCTCTCCACTGTGAGCCAATCAACTTGTTTTTATTGGAACAGAGGGTCATTATCCCTTAATTAGTTTCATCACTCTTATTGTTCAAAAATGTTTTTAATAAATGGCCAAACCCCAAGAAACTTAAGCTGATTGATCGTTATCACGATTTTCATCTAAAACATCTTTTTCTGTGAATGAAGTTCCACCCTGAGTAAATGAACTTCCTAGACCTTTGCTGTACCACAAAAGCATAACAGACTTTCCAATAGACGACAACCCTTGGAGTGAGCAACCCGAGACATGAGTATAGCACCCTGACCTACTGAAAATTTCCATGAAGCATTCGTCGGATTTATGGAAAGTAGTCCTCAGTATACAACTCACTTTGGGAGATCACTTCTCGAAACCAAAATTTTTCACCACCGAAAGCCCAAAGTCAACTCGGCACAGTCCGGAACCCAGTTAACTTGTGCTAAACTGCGTCGCATCAAGCAAGTTTGAAACTGAAAATCAGATCCATGGTCTTTATTCTGCATAGTCTTTCCTAATTGTAATCACTACCTGTCCCATACTGGTAGCAGATACATTAAAGTAGCTCCAGTTGGGTGTCAGTTAGAATGTGTGGTGTTCGTATGTTTGGAAAGTGGGATGTGCAAGGTAAGTGAGCGTCCAGCCGCTAGAACAGATGGCACTCTCGCAATGCAGAACAGTGATTAAACGACAAGGATTAAATGTGTTCGCCCAAAATTCACGACTCCTGGTATGGGAATCTGAATACGCTGTTCACAAAAACTTACGCTACATGAAATTTGGCTAAATGTGGGTGCGCGGACTAGAGTCACCATTTAGTTATGATTGACGTGAAGGCTTGCTCATATCTTATCACATCGGATAACGTGTGCCATCGAACTACGTGCACACCAGTCCAGCTTCAGTGTCCCCTTAGTCAGTCGTTCCAGCCCACAGTTCCTGGTGCATTATAGTCTTAAATGTACTCTTTGGTTTGCTGCTGACGTGTGAAACAAAATGGTCGACACCGATGTTGGGCGTAGCAGCTCAGCAGTACAAGCTGTCTCTGTATATAGAGGCACATTCCTGGGCTAGCTCAATAGGCTTAAAGCACCCTTGATAAAAAAATTCATCACTACGAAAGCTATTGCCTAAGATTTTAGCTCTTTGTTTGCCTTTCAAAATAACAGGCTCTTTAGAACCGTCGTATAACCAGTACTCTGAAGCCCAGTTTGACATATTCAAGTGTTCAAACCTACAAACGGCCTGTCACATCATCCATATCATATTGCTGTCTCTGTGATACGTGCTTGTACCACAGACTGTTCACCTACCGGACGAAGTGCTGTAATAGTGAGCTGCACACTGCTTTCCATTGAATCCAGAAGTATTGGCTCAACCTAGCCAAAGGGCTAGCGTAAGGCCACTCCGTTTCATTACTAAAAAGATGGGAGGAGGGAGATTGTCGCCTATGCACAGTTTACGACAGATGGTATGATCTCATCTGGATGTCGATGACGAAACCAACTGAAGCTCTGAGCTACTCAACAATGGACGTGGTAGATTGGTAGGTAGTGATTGAATCTGAAGTACAGATATATCACTCTAGTTTGTCGGCAATACTTTTGCCGAAGACTTTTTCGAGTGTCCATGTGCTCGTGAATCACAAGTGCAGACCGTCATCATGAAGACTGAGAAAACGGCAGAATGAAAAATAAATACGTGTTCACTGTGGCCGTGCGTTTCCTATTTACTACAGAAGTGACAGATTCGGTTTGCAGACTCCGCCTACGAAGCTATATTACTCAAGGCGATGTGAAAAGACTTTTCCTAATTTGCTTCCGATTTTTGCAGTCAAAATGACTAGACGTGAGCTCCAGCACGTTGAGGCTGCAAAAACCTTCGATTACTCCCACAGTATGCTTTACCTGCAAGCTTCTAGTCTGTACGCCCGCTAAACCGTTTCCACTCCTATCTCTGGGACGCTGGGAAGAAACTACTTTGAAAGTAATGTTTACGCGTTCACGCATGACTTGTAAAAAGTATAACAAATGTTTGCAGAGGTAATTTCACTTCCGATCGCTCAGTAAAACTGTACGATTTGGAGTTTCTTGTTGCAAAACCCGAACGAAATAGGCACAAAGGGTGTACGAAGGTGAAGAAACTCATTTCTACAATCGTGACGTTCTTGGACTCTTTTCTAAACTCCGTTTGCACTTATCTGAAGGTCTGGCCACAGTAAGGGAACCCAACCGAAGAAAACCGTAAGTCGACTATTCGCAATACACTACTCAAAAGTTTGCTCAAAATTCTTCGACACCCCACGACCGAATTCACCCTTCTTTGGGCTCATCAGTTACGCGCAGTCCCCGAGTTTCCGTCAACTTTATGTTCTACTTGAAGCCAAATTGCACTAAATTAGTGTGCCAAACTCATATGCAAAAAGATTGGTTTCATGGGAGACTTACCCGGAACTGAGCTGGATCTCTCGTTAATGATGTTTCCAGGCAACTGAATGTGTTGCACCAGGCCGCCTCATGTTTCAGTCGCTACGATATTCGAGATATCGCGATACATGTACATTCGCAGGTTGCTGAAAATCCCTCGACAGCCCACGACCGGTTTCGCAATCGTCAAAATAATTACACACATATCCCAGCGAAATTATACTCTCCGAGGTATCCAGATTTTTTCCCGTTGTGCAATCTATTATCCCGTGTGTTCCTATATGTTCTTACTTGGACATCAGTAACTTGTTACATGATGCAAGTTACACCACGCAGTCAGGACNGACATCCTTGGGGTATTCACTGGAAGCGGTTGGGGGGTCAAGCATGGACACATTCGCCCATACAGGTATGATAATTCGCACACATCTAGAGTGCTGTGGCAGAGAAGTGATAACACTTTTACTTTGCATGTCATATATCGGGGATTCAAGTCCCAGCATTACTGATGAGGTTGTAAGTCTGGTTCAATGCTTCCAAGATCTGGTGCGGAACAACCAGGATGGGAGGAGGAGCGTTTGAGGGAGACTGGTGTTGATAAAAGTTCGGCAAGTCCCCCAAACACACACAATATTACTGGCAATTAGTAGAATATTTCAAGAAACCCTAAGGAAAAACAAATCATGTTGAATTTAAAGCTTAAACAGTGTGAAAGATTTGTTATTCACTACGTATGTAGGCCCAAGTGTGACTTTGTCCTCTGTACAGTTCTGGTGAAAAAAAAAGGAGAAAAGAGGAGCTACTCCCCCAAAATACGTGGATTCGTTCGTGCTGAAATGAAGATGAGCTAGCCGTGTTTATCAACACGCGGCGATCCTCTTCATCAATCGAATTCCACATAGATTCGGAAACGTCTACTCTAAACATTACATATCACCTCGGCAACCGAAATTTTATCCCAAACTAATCAAAACAAACTTTACTTTTTCAGTGTGCTGGTTACTTTCGACAGTTTACAATACGAATGATCTTGCACCTCAGCAGCAGTTCTTACCAGTACGCAGGTAGAACTGGTGGGGCGAGCAGGTGAGGAACGTGGCAAGTGCTACAAATGGAAAGCTGGTTTGGTAGTCCACCATCGACTTCATATCCATGAAATGTTGGCACGAATTTGGTCACCCACTTAGCCTGCAATGATTGTTCCCGCCTTGTTCCGACGAAGATCGGCGTGAGTCAACACCGCCGACACGTGCGTCCCAGCCAGTATAACGCAGACAAGCTTCGTCGAGTGGAAAATTCCGGTGTCAGCTGGTCCCAACAAGAACCACCTGGCTTATAATCTACGTCCGTTTTTTGACGAAAACTGCGCAGTTCGTGAGATTGGAGCAACATTCTCCTGGTATGAAATGTTGGCACGAATTTGGTCACCCACTTAGCCTGCAATGATTGTTCCCGCCTTGTTCCGACGAAGATCGGCGTGAGTCAACACCGCCGACACGTGCGTCCCAGCCAGTATAACGCAGACAAGCTTCGTCGAGTGGAAAATTCCGGTGTCAGCTGGTCCCAACAAGAACCACCTGGCTTATAATCTACGTCCGTTTTTTGACGAAAACTGCGCAGTTCGTGAGATTGGAGCAACATTCTGTTGGTTGGTCGGCTATCAGCATCAAAACCAGGTTCCGTGCGCTTAACTGGCAAACACAATTGGACGAATCACCAGTTGGTGACCCTGATCAAACCACCGGTCAAGCGGAGGCTCATTCGTCAGAAGCTGATGACTAAAGTGTCTGGTTCAAGCAAACCGTGGATTGTGCTGTGTCACCCTTGGAATATCATGCTGACATTTGGCTCGGTAGTATTTGCCCAAGGGTTGCAATCTGACATCATGACACCGGATCAAGTTCTGCCACTTCGAGACCTCCATGTCTCCAGGAGATTTCCACACATCTGAAAAACTGTATCCCCATGATGTAGTCAGCTAACCCATCGTGTGCCAGCCAACAGAAAGCAGGCCCACCGAACCGAATACGCTGCCATCCAGTGCCTATACCACCAAAGATGGAAAGATGCAGCGTGCTCGATGGGTCACGGGAGGATCTATGCAAAGGTTATGGCGGCCTACTTCTGGACGCCAAGCAGTATTAGAAAACAGGTGCTCTCTGCTCCAAAACATATGGATAGCCCGCCAAGTCACGCAGTGCTACCATCCTATCGGAGTTTGATCGAGCCAATTACAGGTGAGGAAGTCGACCGTACAATCGGTTCAATGGGAAACTTGTCCCCAGGTCTGGACAAGCACCTGCCCAGGATGCTTGATCAGTTCCATGCCAGCGCCCTGGGTATTTCAACTTACGCTTATGTGATAACTAGAATAGTGGTAGGTATCGTAACTACCGAATGTACGCGTAGTATAGAAGTCCGAATATGGACGAATGAATATCGTATATTCTCGTATATCGCGGGCGTACTATCAATCGCATCGTAAAACAAAAGCATATAAAAATAC